TCGGTGCGTATTTTCGAAGTACGGAAGCCGGTTCAGGTATCGGTGCATCCCTAAAAGTTTCACCTTCAACTCTGACCTCCACCTCAGATCGTTTGTTATTCTTCCCCTGGAGGTAAAACTCACCCGGGGCCTAGTTTGCCACATTTTTCAGACGGCGGGCGGACTGATTGAGAAGCAGCATGGTGTTGTTTGTCACAGCGCTCTGAGTCATGGCTGAAAATAGATATGACACCTGATGTTTGGTGCCTCACTGCCGGCTGTCATATTGTTATTCCCACTCAAATTTCACCTAATTTGTGCACAAGTCTTGTCACAGTCCAGATTCTGATGAGGGCTTTTAGGTGGTTATTTTTTCCCCCTACTGTTTCTCTACTGTGTATGTGTGTGTGTTTGTGTGTGAGAGTGTGGCGACGAGTCGCAGTCAGGTACACACTGTACACCCGACTGTGCATCCCCATGTGTGTGTGTGTGTGTTTGCACACAAGCACATTTGATTAGGCTTGTTTGTGTGCACAAGTGAGTGTTGCCTGCTGCGTGGAGTGTTTTTTTTTTCTTCTTCTTCTTCTTCTTCTTCTTCTTCTTCTTCTTCTTCTGCTCCACTCTGCTCCAAAGTGAGTCACCTCAGCTGAAGGTGATTAAGTTTTGCCAATGGCAGGCTCGACAGGTGAGCGCATTGTAGCACGCTGGCAGCTGTGGCATGTGCACAGGTGACAGCTTCTCCTGCACAGTGCCGGTGTCAGTGTTGTGGGTGGCAGGAGGTCTGACAACGTTGTTTTGGTGACAGAACGACTCTGCTGTGAGGTTCACGACATCGCTTGCCTGCTTTAGATTTGTCAGTTTATACTGCAAAGTGTATAGGGAGTGCCGTGGACTTTAGCATATCCTGCCAAGACACAATCCCATACGTGAAACTGCAGTTTACTTTTATGAAAATGGCAAAAAAAAGAAAAAAAAACAATATTATTTTAGAGGCCTTCTTAATAATAATCCAGCACAAGTGCTTCTTTGTTGTGAGTTCCCCTTTTTTTAATAACTCTGCAGCATGTGTATGTGTGGACAAAATACGGTCCATTGCTGCCACCTGCTGGTGAAAATGTGAAAAAGCAGTGGCTTTTTTTAAATATTTTGGAGTGAGGTCATGTATTCAGAAGCGCTTTTCTGCGGTGCATTCAAAATTAAAATGTAACTTAAGTTTTTACATTGATCGGTATTTGTACAGTACACTTTGTAAAGTTTAGGACTTGGATGTTCTGTGAGAAGTTTCAAAAATTGATCATTTAGCCTAGGAATTAGCCAAAGTTGTAGTTTTGTTTATATTAAACAAAATATTTTTTAAAAAAACTTGTACGTTCTGGTAAAAAGTTTTGTTTATATTAAACAAAATATTTAAAAAAAACTTATTTACTTATTTACCCTGAAAGTACACATACTGTAATATGTAATTTTCTAATTTATGTTTCATTGTATAGAGCAAACATTCAGAAAAAACTTTTACTTAAACAAAAAATTGTAAACGTTCAAATTGAAACAACGGAATAGAAATGTTAATATACAAAAACGTAAAAAAAATGTATCCATCCTTAAAAATAAATTAAAAATGTCGATTTTATGACGAAGTTATGTTCGTCAGATAAAATATATAAAATTAATTTATGTATGAATAGGGTTTACTGTAAAAAAAAAGAAGCTACAAGTAAATGTAATAATGTTTCAAAAACCTGTTAACAATGAAAAAAAATGTTTTTTTTTCAGTTTTTTTCAGTTAATAATGTTTCAAAAACCTGTTAACAATAAAACTTTTTTTTTTCAGTTTTTTTCAGCTTCTACAGTCGAGTACATTCACATACAATCGCAATAAACTATTTTAAAAAATAAATACAACAGTACAACAACTATGAGAGTACTTTCACCTAAAACAGTAAAATAACCATACAAAACTGAAACCACTTTGTAAAATTATTAAAATTTATCAAGAAAAAAAGATAAAATAATGTCAGTAAACTTTTCAAATTTGAAGAACGCAGAAACGTTCTTAAAATACTACAATGATGTTTAGACCTTTTTGTGAAATGTATAAATATATCACTTTGTTATTGTAAAATTTATATATTTCAAACATCACATTAAGAAAACTAGAAAATGATATTTCAAACATCACATTAAGAAAACTTGATAGAAAATGTTTTTTATAACAAATCTCTAAATATAACCTGACAACAATCATTTCAACAAAATGGATTTGTTTTGTTTCACGTATTGTTAAAAATATTTACATCATAAAGTTAATGTTATACCTGTAACTAAAGTCACTACAGACTTAAAGATTAAATTGGTTGTAAAAATAAATTCAAATTTAAAGTTAATGAAATGCTGGTAAACCACAGAACTAATGGACTGAAAATGTGTCAAAGTTTCTGCATCGATCCAGCATCAGGACAGAAATATGATGTCGATATTTTCTATGTATTACAAGTGTAAAGGTATGTTGTGCAGCTCTTGTCTGTCATGTCTGACACGGCTGATGGTAATGAATCCACAGCACGGGCGTCTGACTTCACCTTCTCATCAGTTCCCGTGTCTTTCTGTTCTCAAACTGCCGGTTCAACAGTGATCTGTGATGTTCCTCAGTTAAAAAGTCCCTGGTTCTGATGTCATCGTCACCTCGTCTGAGCTGACGAAGCTTGGTCTTCAACTTTTTCCACAATTTCTCATGTTAGGAGGAAATGGAACAACAGGAAGTTTAAATCCGATCACTTGGTTGGTTCGTGGAGAAAAGTTGGGGTGAAAACGTCATATGTGAATTTGTATTTTTACCAATTTATTATTGGTAAACATCTAAACGACTGTTAACCTGAATTCTTCCAAATTGCTGTTAAATATATGTTAGACAAATCTGGAAAAAAATTAGCAACGGACCCACAACCTTCTGGTGTTAGGCGGGGGTCCTAGATCACTGCACCCCTTGAATTCCTCATAGTGAGAAATGTGTTTTTAATATCATTCCGTTATTCAGGAACATACAGGACGTACAGTGGAAAAGCGGTTTGTCCTCTTACCTAACAGTAAGAAAGTCAATGGTTTGATTCCTAGTGGTATGGGTCTTTCTACAGGTTTGTTCTTCCAGTCCACAAAACTTGCAGATTGGAGATTGAGCAATTGTGCCCCAAGGCCTATACTTTCAAAGACGACTTTCAAGATGACATATGTGATTTCTGCCACCTAGTGGCATCAACAGGAATTACGATCTGTTGTTGTACATGAAAAAGAAGGATTGACATCTGTCTTTACTGTACCTTAAACAAGTGTTTGGCCGGATTAGAATATGCAGCGGGGCGTTTTTGGCCCACGGCCCTTAGTTTGACCAGATCTGCTCTTAACGGACTATTTAAGTGATAAAAGATAAATGGATGAAGATGAATCAACGTGATGAAGAGATAAAAGATAAATGGATGAAGATGAATGAACGTGATGAAGATCTGAATCCTTGCATTTTTTTCTGTTCCTACCATCTGAATACTTGCGTTTTTTTTTTTTTATTCTTACTGGGAATGACGGAGACTCCACATCCTGTGTTTGTTTTTGTTTTTTTTTTGGACTTTTGTCTCAAGCTCAACACTTTCAACACATCCCATGAAAAACAAACTTCGCAATTGGTATTAATTGTGAATTAATTCCCACTATTTTTGTAAATTTTATATTTTTGGTGAACTTAATTTCATCACAAAAAAATTAAATTAAATTTGTTTTTTGATATTTGAACTGCAGATATTGATATTTAGGCAAATTGAAAATAATAAAATAATTTTTATTACTGTTAAAGAAAGTAGTAAAAGAATACTGGTATGGTATATATATATGTCATTAATTGTGCGTTAATGATTGTTAATTCCCGCAGCATGAAAAGGCCGTTGACGTCGTCCACCTTCGCGCCACAGAAACTCTCTTTGTTCTCGACCAGTGCCACTCACGGCAGACCTTTTATTCTCCACCATTATTCATCTTCAAGGGCTCATCAGCTCACAGTGGACTCATCAGAATTAATACTCCTGCTCTACTCGTCTTTATTATTCAATTCCCGGCCTCGTCCTCCTCCTTTTCGGCCACTCGTCGCCAATCAGCCACCTTGTAAACTGGTCCTTCACCTTCCGCTTCTAAAAGTTTTCACCCTTTGTTTGAGCTCTCCGGACATTTCGTCCTCTGTAGATCATTTTAATCAGATCATCACGGCTAACGGCATCCTTAAGTGATGGGCATCTTTTAAATGTACTTTTATAGTTCTGGCTTCACTGATGGGGATTTATGAAGCATATAGAATCTCTCCTGTAGCTATAGGAGCGGGGCAGTTAATGTAAGTGTGTTGCATGAGTTATGTAAAACTGAGGGAGAAGACGCTGTGAGATTACCTTCTTCGTAACCTCCTCCTTTTTGACTTTTACTTTAATTTAATACTTGTTAAATTTCAAGGAGTTTAAAAAAAAAAAAAGCTTTTCTACCGGAGTTAAACCCGTCCATAAACGCTGTAAACAAGAAAGCAGCTCAGAGCCAGACCAAAATGTGAACTTCACATTACCCTTGAACCCATCAGTCACTCGGACTGCACACGTGAACAGGGATTTTTTTTCATTAAATTAAATTTGAAAAAAAAAAGACACTCGGATATTAACTTCTTATCTTTTCATTTTCTTGAATTTTAATTCACGTTTGTGAAAAGAAAAGAATCCTTGAATTTACCCGCCAACACACTTGTCACCACTGTGAACAAGAAGGCAGTTCAAAGCTGAAAGCCCAACATTACCCTTGAACCCATCTGTCACTCTGACTGCACACCTGAACCCCTCTCTTTGCCCCAGGCTTCTCGTTCCGTTCAAAATTTCCGACTTATTTTTTCGTCCAAACCACGACCATCTTGCATCGTTACCTTCGTCTCCAAACTTACCGTACTCCACCGTAGCTGTAACTCGCAACGTTTTCTCCGACTTCTCTTGTGACAAGACACTGAGTCAAATTCAAAGTATATAAAAAGAGGTTTATTATATTTTTCCCACCCCTTGTAAGAATACAAAAGTTAACATGTTAGACGTGTGTACGTGGATACTATGTACATATGCATTTTTGAGTACATGGACTAGAATGAAATACTTCAAAGATACGATAGGAGATCATATTAGGCACCGTGGTGAGTAAGTCGGTCGTAATAAGGCACATAACACGAAATCATTCCCGACAGTCGCTGCCTTTTTGGTGAAGACGTCACATTACCTCCGTTGATAATGATAGTTTGTTTTTTGCTGGTTTTCAGTTACTTTTTTTGTCTTTGCATAATAAGGAAGTACAGTTTTAAAGTGTTCCATTTACATTATGTACAAAAGAAGGCTGATTAATGTCTCCCTTTTTAATGACTCAGTTTCTGCTTTTCACGGGAGGCAGAGAAACGCGTTCGACGGCAGTGCGGCACTTGGTTCTCAGAAAGTTCTGGAGAATGCAAGCTCTTTGTCCATCGTTTCGACACGTACCAAACTAGCACTTCGAGGCTACGTCAGTTCTCAGGGTCACGACTTGCAGCCCTGTCTAATTGTCACTGTTGTCCGCCAAGAGGCGTCGGTCTCTCCTTTAAATGCTCTACGTTTGCCCTTTAACACTGGAAATACCACCACAAAAACAAGGTGTGTTTTTGAAGAGAAAAAAAAAAACAACTCTCAATTATAAGTCATCGCCACCGGCGGAACTGAAGCTGCTCCTGCGGCTGCTGTCCTTAGACGCAGCGCCGGGCGAACCCGCCGACAAGAGCGGATCGGCGCCGAAAGGTGAGAGAGCTTCGTCGATCAGGATTTCCTCCAGCCTTTGCTCATCCTTTAGCGTAGCGCTGAAGAAGTCCGTGAAGTGGGACAGTGGGTCGGAGAAGGTCGTGCACCCGTCGGTGCCCGTGATGTGGTCCTGCGGCCCGCCCGCACCTGGGATGGAGGGCATCCCGGCAACGGCTGCTATCCTCTGGAGGTAGTCGTTGTTGGGCTCCTCCTGGTAGAGTGGAGGCTGCTGGGCCTGTGGAGGCGACCGCTGCTGCCGCCGCTGGCGGTGCTGTTTTGGGGGGGGGGGGGGGGCAC